TGGTAGAGCTGCTGCCTCTCAGCGAGCAGGTCCTTGGTTCAAACCCCGGTCCAGGGGCCTTTCTGGGTGGAGTTTGCATGTTCTCTCCGTGCATGCGTGGGTTTTCTCCGGGTGCTCCTGTTTCCTCCCACAGACCAAAAACATGCATGTTAGGCTGATTGGTAACTCTAAATTGTCCCTAGGTGTGAATGAGAGAGTGAATGGTTGTTTGTCTCGTTTGTCTCTATGTGTCCCTGTGATGGACTTGCGACCCGTCCAGGGTGTACCCCGCCCCTCGCACAGTGATTGCTGGACATGGGCACCAGCGACCCCCGTGACCCAAAATGGAATAAGCGGGTAAAGATAATGGATGGATGGATGGATGATACACAATTGGCTGATTGATGGATGAGCCGCATGATCGGCATAGAATTTTTATTTCAAAATAAATTATTTTAAATTATTTAGCCCCTGCTGCACCTCAGCTGAAGGAGAAACTTCCTCCTACAGGTGTCAGGCTCTCCGCTTTGCTACGGAGAAGTGGGCGTGGCCAAGAGCAGCCGTGGCAGAGCGGAGGCACAGAGCTGAAATCATGACATATATATAAATACTAAAATATAATACTACGTTCTACTTGTACTACTATTCCTACTTTGCAGTTTTTCAGTTATCGCAGGGCTTCAGGGTACAGATCCCTGTGATGAACGAGGGACTACTGTAACTACATTTCTCATCCAGAAATTATCTCCTTGAATGATGGATTTAAAACATATTTAAAATATTTCATAAACATTGTCAAACTTGACCAAAACCACAACAGAAACGGTTTAAGTCCAACAAAACATTTAATGATTTAGCAAGTACTTAAAATCTGCCTGTTATTTATTTAAAAATAAAAGAATTTAAATATGCTTTTTCAAATCTCTTAATTAGTAGTTTTAATAACCTGTAAAGCTTTTGCATTGTATTGCAACTGTCCTGTTTGATTTACTGTTGATGATGATGATGATGATGATGATGATGACTGTGAGTCTTTCCTATCTGTTGTTTTGTTGATCACTTTTATTTTGTGTTCCTTCATCACAGGGTTATTAACCAGCTTTGATTTAGGCTTCTATAATTTTCTGGCAACTCTTCACCTAAATGGGCATGGTTGGATAATTAGTTCTTGTGGAATCTAATTCTGCTCATAAAGTTGCAAAGTCCTAATAAACTTGTGTCTTTCTTCTGCTGATGAGTTTTCACATGGGAAAGTTTACTCAATCCTCTCTGTTTTGACTGCAGAGCTCACATACAGTATTTTCTTGCACTTTCAGTTCAGTGGCTAAAATACAGTCTCTTCTTCAATGTGAATGTAATTTTATCCATCCATCCATCCATCCGTCCATCCATCCATCCGTCCATCCATCCATTATCTTCAGCTTGTTCCAAAGTCAGGTTTTGAGGCAGCAGCTTTAACACGGAGGTCCATACATCTCTGTCCACAGCCACCTCTTCCAGCTCCTCTGGGAGGACTCCAAGGTGTTCCCAGGCCAAATAAAAGACATAGTCTCTCCAGCGTGTCCTGGGTCTTCCCCGGGGTCTCCTCCCAGTCGGACATGCCCGAAGCTCCTCCCTAGGGAAGTGCCCAGGAATCATCCTTACCAGATGATGCCTGAACCACCTCAACTGGCTCCTCTCGATGTGGAGGAGCAGCGGTTCTACTCTGAGTCTCTCCCTGATAACTGAACTTCTCACCCTGTCTCTAATGGAGAGTCCAGCTACCCTGCAGAGGAAACTCATTTCAACTGCCTGTATCCACGATCTCATTCTTTCAGTCACTACCCAGAGCCATAGGTGAGGGTAGGAACATAGACTGACCAGTAAACAAAGCTTTGCCTTACAGTTCAGCTCCCTCTTCACCACAACAGACTGGCACAGAGTCCGCAATACTGCAGATAGTGCACCAGTCCATCTGTCAATCTCACTCTCCATTCTTCCCTCACTCATGAACAAAACCCTGAGATACTTGAACTCCTGCACTTGAGGCAGAACCTTATCCTGAAGAGAGCAATCCACCTTTTTCTGACTGAGGACCATAGCCTCAGATTTGGAGATGTTGAGTCTCATCCAGCTGCTTCACACTTGGGTTGCATTCACACCAGCCCTGTTCTCCCGAACTCCAGCCCGTTTGCCTAGGAAGTCCGGTTCATTTGGGGAGATGTGAACGCGCCATTGAACTCTGTCACGGAACAAAAAGGCGAACTCTGGCCCGGGCTAAAACCTAGGTCTCTGTCCGGTAGAAGAAAACTCTAGTGCGGTTCGAGTGCAGTGTGAATGCAACCAGACTGGACACCGCTCCACAAGCAGGAAGAGGAGTACAGCGCAGGACAAACAAACACACATTTCTCTTATCTCGTATGGAGCCGTCAGCTGCCTTGTGTGGAAAAACAACATTCTCCATGATCTTCTGCCTCATCTTCTGCTCATGCTGAGTCCATTGTTGAAAAATGACAAAATATAACTCCTAAAACTGCTAAAATTTGACGCCACTCCGTTTTTGTTTTTATTTCCAGAAGAAGAATAAGTGTCTTCAGAGGTTTTTGTGTTGTTTCTTTCAGTTGTTCTTGGTGCAGCGCCACCACAGACGAGTGGGGGAACAGGTTGGTTCAAACAGGTTGTCTCGACTGCACAGTGCAGTGTGAATGCAAACGCACCAGCTCAAATGTAAACAAAATGTTATGAATATTGGTCCCCAACCGAACCGAGTCTACCGGACTATCAGGTGTGAAAACAACCTCGGCTGTGAACCGCTCCAGTGAGAGCTGAAGATCACGACACGATGACACCAACAGGACAAACTGCAAAGAGCAGCTATGGAATCCTTCCGCCCCCTGGCTGCACTGATGTCATTTTAGAGTTTTAACAAAATGGGATTGTTTAAAAAAAAAACTATTTATTACAACCCCAATTCTGAAAAAGGTTAAATATCATGGGAAATGTAAATAAGACAGAATGAGATGATTTGCATTTGATTTGAAACTTACTTTTATATTTTATTTCCTTATTATCCATTATACGTTATTCACACTGGAATACATATCAAATGTTTGAACTAAGAAATTGTACCATTTAAACAAATGAACTACGTACGCCACTTTCTGGAGTTTCTGGAGGGAAATGAAAATCATTGAAATTACGGGGCCCTGTGTGAGAGTATTATAGGTCTGTTACAGTCACCTAATGCTCCAACTGTCAGGAAGATGGAGGAGAAAATAAAATTCACTCAGGTGTGCTGCAGAATGACGTTGTTCGTTTCATTCATTCATTCAACCTTTATTTAGACAGATAAATCCCATTGAGTCTCGAGGACTCATTTACTAGAGAGATCTGATTTCAACAAAGAAAGATGACAACTATGGACAACAGCGACAACAATAAACAGTTATAAAGTCCTACAATTAATTATTTTTTTTTTACCAAATAGGATGGCTAAAAAAAAACAAGTAAAAAGAAAAGAAAAGTAACAAAAACAGCTAGATTCTAAGGCAAATGTAAAAACTAAAAACAGGAACATGTCTGCATTAATCCCTGCCAGGAGTCCAACAGATTCTTAAAGCCACTTAGAGAGGTCAAAGGTCGAGAGCTGCAGGTCTTTAGGCATTAGGTGACTAACAGTTTCATGTGATGCAGGTCATTTTTGAGACCTGCATTGTGATCTGATCTCAGTGTGTAAACATTTGGACCTGTATACTTCCTATAAGTTTATAATATTCTGAGGAACAAAGTGGATGACATGAAGTATCCAGAGATCTGAACATAAATGTACCAGTAGATGTATTTATCCTGTATGAGTGGATCGGCTTTCAGTCCCTTTCAGCGAATTTGGTAAATCTGCTTTTCTTGTTATTCTTTCGGCTGCTCCCTTCTGCAAAGGTCGCCACAGTGAGCAAACTCACATGAAAGATTTGCAAATTGTTTTAATCCAGATGTCTTTCCTGATGCAACCTGGGCTTGAATCCACAACCTCAAGGTTGCAAGACTGCAGCACTGACCACTGAGCTACCGCAGCATACATGCAACGTTCTTTATCTATTTAAATAAAAACAGATACAAATTTAATGCACGAGGCAAACATGTGGCCAGTACACAAAACAAACTGATGACCTTCCACTGATGTTCCTCTAAAGGTCAGTTTTGACATGTTTTGTGAGAAAAAGTTTTCTAAGAGCAATAAGGACCTTACAAAACTGATGTCACATGGCTGAGTGACTCTGTAAAACTAGTTGCTTCACTTTTAACTTCTTCTTTCTGTAAAACTTAACACATTTTCCTGAAGTCTTGATAAAATGTCTGACACATTTTTTTCAAACGTACACCAGGTTTGTAATACTACTACATTTCTTTTATGTAGCCTGTCTGCTGAGCTCATTTCTTCTGAAAAATGTCCTCCCTTCCAGGAATCATGTGTTATATAAGATGTTATAATCACACAAATTCCCATTATTCCAATTCTTTCTGGGTTTTTTTTTTTTTTTTAGTTTTTTTTTTTTTTTTTCAAATTTAGAGGCCAACATTAAGAAACTGTTGCCTTCAATGACCGATTTCAATTGACCTTGCACCTTCATATCTCTCTGACCTACTTCATCCACATGTTCCTTCTTGGGCGCTGAGATCATCTGACCGCTGCTTTTGGTTGTACCAAAAACCAGGTTGAAGTTCAGAGGAGATCTGGCTTTTCCAGTCATGGGCCCTAAACTCTGGAACAATCTGCCCCCAACATTAAACAGACCACTTCACTTCCTGCTTTAAATCTCTCCTGAAAACACACCTGTATTCACTGATATTTAACACAGTGTGATCTGATTTATTATCCCATTGTTTTTCATTGTGTTTGCATTTTTATGTTTTTATTTTTGTTGCTTTTAATTGTATCTTGTTATTTTTTTTACTTGATGCTGTGATTTTATTGTAAGGCACTGTGGTAACAGTTTCTGTTCTAAATGTGCTTTATAAATAAATTTGACTTGACTAATTTCTATTTGTCCCACAAAGTTAAGTCAGGTCCTCTGGATGGTTTCTTTTTGTTGAAATGTTTCATCTTTCATCCAAAAGACATCAGTCCAAGGAGCCACAACAAACTCAGTCTTATAAATATCACCTTCACATAGTGGATCAACCAGTTTGATGGAGCTCAGATGGTTTCTGGAGTCCACCCTCTCCCCCGCCGACTCGTCTGAGGCAGCCATGGCCAAAGTGGTTCAAAGCATCTTGATTCATGCTCATTAATCCTACAGAAACCATCTGAGCTCCATCAAACTGGTTGACATTTTGTTGCTTCTGGTTCTTTAATTGACACAGTTACTAATGGAAAATCAGCCACTTCCCCTAATAACCAAACTTCTACAAATCAAATCCCTCCTACAAGTCAATCCTCAGTTAATCACACCTTCTCTTTTTCTCCATTCTCAGTCAGTGAGGTCAATAAACTGTTAAAAGATCTTGATCCTAAAAAATCTGCAGGTCCAGATGAACTTCCACCTTATTTCTTAAGGCTGGCCGCTCATATCATCACAGTCCCTGTGACCCACATCTTCAATCTCTCCATAAGACAAAACTCCATCCCAGACACTTGGAAAACAGCCTTTGTTCTTCCTTTGCTGAAGGGAGGTGACCCCACCTCACTGAACAACTATCGACCAATCTCTAAACTCTGCATTTTAGCCAAGGTTCTAGAAAAACTGATAAACTCTCAAATCAAAAATTACCTGGACTCATTTAATATCTTACCTCCACATCAATCTGGTTTCAGGAAACAGCACAGCACAACCACTGCTTCACTGAAGGTTCTTAATGATGTTGTTGAAGCACTGGATGCTAAGGATTATTGTGCTGCACTTTTCTTAGACCTGTCTAAAGCTTTTGGCACTGTGGATCATAACATCTTGTGTCATAAACTCTCAGAAATCGGTTTCTCAGATCACACCATTGGTTGGTTCTCTAACTATCTTTCAGACCGGAGGCAATGTGTTCAACATAATGGTACTTCCTCCAGTTATTTAACAGTCAACAATGGTGTACCACAAGGCTCAGTCTTAGGACCCACCCTCTTTACAATCTACATACATAATGTAGGTAAAAACATCCCTAATGCATCCATACATTTCTATGCTGACGACACAGTTGTTTATTGTCGAGCTAAAACTGTTGCTAAGGCTTTCCAGCTTTTGAAATCTGCATTCAACATCATCCAGACTGATTTGTTTCACCTCAAACTTGTCCTAAATGCCGAAAAAATCAAAGGGATGCTTTTTTCAAATAGGAAGTTGGTCCCAGCAGTTCTTCCTCCGATTTTATCCTCAAATGGTGTCCCCATTGAGTTTGTTGATTCCTATAAATATTTGGGTATCTTGGTCGACTCACATCTCTCTTTTAAGCTCCATGTGGAAAACTTGATAAAGAAACTGAAAGTTAAACTGGGTTTCTTTTTCAGAAACAAATCCTGTCTAACCCTGAATGCTAGAAAACGCCTTGTATCTGTGACTTTCCTTCCCTCAATTGATTATGGTGACATTATTTACATGAACGCTCCTACAAGAACCCTGCATATGTTGGATGCTGTCTATCATGGTGCACTAAGATTCATAACTGGCTGTGATTATCGTACCCACCACTGCACCCTGTATTCACTGGTTAACTGGACATCATTAACTTCACGCAGACTCTCTCACTGGTATATTTTCATCTTTAAATCACTTCTTGGTCTGTTGCCTTCATACATCTCCTCCTACATGTTTCTGTGTGAGTGCAGCTACGGAGTACGCTCTCAGGACATTATTACCTGCAGTGTTCCCTCAGTGAGGACTGAACTAGGCAAAAGGGCCTTCTCCTATTCCGCTCCTGTTTCCTGGAATATCTTACAAAAAAATTTGAAGCTCTCGACCTTGACCTCTCTAAGTGTCTTTAAGAATCTGTTGGACACCTGGCAGGGTCCAATGCTGACATGTTCCTGTTTTTAGTTTTCTACATTTGTCTTGGAATCTAGCTGTTTTTTGTTTTGTTACCTTTTCCTTTTAGCCATCCTATTTGTTAAAAAAATAAAAAAAAAAAAAAAACTGTAGTATGCTTTTTTATAACTGTTTATTGTTGTTGCTGTTGTCCATTGTTGTCATCTTTCTTTGTTGAAATCAGGTCTCTCTTGTAAATGAGTCCTCGAGGCTCAATGGGATTTACCTGTATAAATAAAGGTTGATTGACCCACTATGTGAAGGTGCTATTTATAAGACTGAGTTTGTTGTGTCTCCTCGGACTAATGAAGTCTTTTGGATGATAGACAAAACGTTTCATCAAAAAGAAACCGTCCAGAGGACCTGACTTAACTTTGTTGGATTTTTCTACCTGGATTAGTGAGCATGAATCAGAACAATTTCTATTGGGTTTCCTTTAGTTACTGGAGTTTCTTTCAGCTGCTCCCTTCTTCAGGGCTTGCTACATGAAAGGTTTGGCAGTTATTTTTAAATCGGATGCCCTTCCTGACACAACCTGGACTCGAACCCACAACCTCAGGAATACAAGACCACAGCACTGACCACCAAGCTACCGCAGCTTCCTTTTGGCATTGGGAGTATGAAGTAGAAGAAATAAGTTGGAGTATGGAGTCATAGTAATGGAGTAGTGAAGCTTCCATTACTGGGTTGAAAAAGTAATTAGGAAATAAAAAGATTCCTAATTTGAACAGGAAGCACAAAACTAAGTGAATATTTTCTCAGTTTTATTCCCTTTAATCCCATTTTGTCCTTTGCTCTGTAGGAGAGGGACCGGTATGCCTATAAAATCCACCTGCCGGAGACCGTGGAGCAGCTGAGAAAGTTCAACTCCAGGCGAAAGCTCAAGGTTTGCACCGACCCACCTCCACCTCCATGCACAACAGAGAGCTTGTTGCTGTCTCAGCATGAGACCATGAGGTGTTGATGCTTCCTGTGTCATTTCAGGGGGCGGTGCTGGCTGCCGTGTCGAGTCACAAGTTCAGCTCCTTCTACGGAGACCCCCCTGAGGAACTCCACGAGTTCTCTGATGACCCCTCCTCCTCAGGTGCACACTCCAGGACTCATCTGTTTTCTTTGTCTTTGAGTTCTACTTTCTGTGCTAGGCCCTGCACAGGCTGTTCCACCCAGCTGCTCTTAAATGAGCAGCAGAGGAGCATAAAGTGAGCACACAGGGATGTGCTGATGATCTCATTAGGCAGGTTAATGGATGCCGTGAACTCTGAACATTGCTTCAGGACCGGTTTGTTCTTCTGTGTGCTGTTTCGATGACAGAATTTGGCAGCTATGAGCTTGGACTGAAAAATATTCCCAATATTTCTTCTTACTAACCCATGTGATGTACCTGTTTATAATGCAGTAATTTATTGATGGCAACATGTTTTCAATGACTCACCGAGTTTGTGTGTCTCTATTAATGCTTTCCGCCTGCTAGGACTTCTCGCAGCAGAACGTAGGTATCTGTTTGTTCTCTCTGTGTTTTGAACAATAACTCAAACTGAATGTTTGTGTAGTTTGACCTATCATGACAGTAAGTATTTATTTAACTTGTAGATGAATAAAGTAGTGAGCATTTCAGTGTTTAGGAGATTTGGTTGTGTATATACTCGTTAGAGAACATGTGTGTGTTTGTCAGTTTTATTTATTACCTTTTCAGGACCTTTTTTTTTATTTTATTTCCTCTCAAACACGCATCATCCTGTCAGGACACACGGCTAAATTGGAGGACCAAAGCCTAGTCCTCATATGTTCAAATGCCATTTTTGTGTTGGGGTTAAGTTGTGAATTGAGCAGTGGTGGGCACAGTTAATCATAAGTTAGCTTCACGTACCGCTAATTCGCTACATAAAAATATTAGCTTTGCTATCTCTAAACAGATTTTCTAAAAAAATAGCTGAAGCTAACACTAACATGCCAACTTTTATCACACACTGCTGTCGCTGACAGTGTAACAGTCTGTAATGGAACAACGCTGTGAATGAACATGACTCAAAACGTTCATAAATCACGACTTGCAATTTATGAATCACTTTACTTGTGATTCACAAGTGAAGCGTCCATGTCCCATTCAAAGGTGAGCTTTCAAAAATTAATCCACTTCATTGGAACCAAAGAGGCAGAGCAGAACTCTGCTATGCTGAGGCAGAGTGATGCATTCAATGTGTGTTGGACTTTTGTCATATGTCATTTACTATAATAAATTAACTCACTTTGGAGATACTCTGAGCAACACGGTGACGCAACCGGTAGAGCTGCTGCCTCTCGTCGAGAAGGTTGCCGGTTCAAATCCCGATCCGAGGACCTTCCTGGGTGGAGTTTGCATGTTCTCTCCGTGCATGCGTGGGTTTTCTCCAGGTACTCCAGTTTCCTCTCACAGACCAAAAACATGCATGTTAGGCTGATTGGTAACTCTAAATTGTCCCTAGGTGTGAATGAGAGAGTGAATGGTTGTTTGTCTCGTTTGTCTCTATGTGGCCCTGTGATGGACTTGCGACCTGTCCAGGGTGTCCCCCGCCCCTCGCACAGTGATTGCTGGACATGGGCACCGGTGACACCCGTGACCCAAAATGGAAGAAGTGGGTAAAAGATAATGGATGGATGGATGGAGATACTCTTTGTGGTTAACTGCTTTTATAAACTAACTACAAAGTTGCTGTTTGTCATAATCAATATTCTCTTGGTAATAAATCTGTTTGTTTTAAAGTAAAGGTGTGTGAAATGTGTGAGAGTCACGTCCCAGAGACATTGTGAGCGTTGCAAAGCATGCTGGGCAGGAATCATATGTGCAGTGTTTGACTGGTTTTGATGTTTCTGAGTGTGAAAGTAGGTTTTCCATGTTATTTTTCTGTTCTGGTTTTCTTGACATTTATGCTAAAGTCTCTGCTATTGGCTGTAAACTGACACCACGAGTCAGAGACTGTTGGCTATGTGGAGAAAAACACTACAAGGGTGGTGATGTGACCGGGTGGTGCTTAGCTGTGCTCAGCTCTGTATAGAAATGTATAGCATAGTGTCGCACTTTGTAAATCACCATTCTCCTGTAAGCTTTGACAGTGTGGAGAACTGTCTATTTTTTAAGTTGTGGACTTGAATTTACGTATTTAAATTCAGTGGAAACTAATTCTGCTAAACAGAAAGTTAGTTCTGCTAGTAGTTGCTTAACGGAACCATGCCCACCACTGGAACTGAGTTTAGTTTGGCGTTATGCATGAACTGGTTATGGTTAAGTTTAGGTTAAGGGTAAAGGTTAGGTTACAGAAATGAATGGAAGTGAACGCACAGTCCCTCATAAAGACAGAAAAATAAACGTGTGTGTGTTTTTGCAGGCGCTGTGTCTCAGGTGTTGGACAGCTTAGAAGAGATCCACGCTCTCACAGACTGCAGTGAAAAGGACCTAGATTTCCTCCACAGTGTTTTCCAGGACCAACATCTACACACCCTGCTCGATGTAAGTGTCACAAACAAACAGTAACACCTCAACTAAACGTTTCATCAGTCTGACTGCAGAACATACATTCTACATAGTTATCTACATAACTGTCTTTTCACTCTCAGAGGCCAGAATTGGTAATTGGTGATTTGTGACTTATCTGTGCTGCTGGTTGATTATCCATGCTGCTGATTATCTCATGCTGCTGATTATCTCATGCTGCTGATTATCTCATGCTGCTGATTATCTCATGCTGCTGTGTTCATTCATACCCATCTGTTCACCTCATGTTCAGGTTGCTGTTGACATACTGTATTGTTTTACATTATTAGTGATTATCATATATTTTAGATCCTTATATACCGTTTCTTTTTATACTTTAGATTTTTGCTATTTTGGGGTGTAACTGGGACCCCGAGTACCTAATTTCATTCGACTTCATGTACCACATGTGATGTGAATGACATTTATCTTGAACTTGAACTGAATTGTACAATCTCTGCAGGTCCTAATTAGTATTTTCCACACCGTGCAAACAAAGATGTGCAACTCAAACTGAGCTGCCAACCAAACAGTGTCTGTCTGGGCTGGTGCAGTTTTCTACATTTAGAAAGGATATGCATGCATTGACAGAGAAAGTTGTCCATTTTATATTCAGATGTCCCTCGTTTATCACGAATAGTACAAGTAGTAAGTAGTAGTCTATAGGGGAGTGGTGGCACAGAGGCTACAGAAGATGGGCCTGTGATTGGAAAGTCGCAGGTTCAACTCCCCGTACTGTCAACATCAAAATGTGGGACCTTCGGGTCCCGAGTCCAACCTGCCCGAAGACCGTCACCATCATCCCAGTCCCAAAGAGCTCTACAGTGACTGGTCTGAATGACTAACGGCCAGTAGCCCTGACCCCGATAGTCCTAAATGCTTTGAAAAACTGGTCATGACTCACATCAAAACAACCATCAACATCAACAAGGACCCTCATCAGTATGCATACCGCGAGAATCGATCAACAGAGGATGCAATCTCCTCTGTGGTCCACACTGCTCTCACCCACCTGGAGCAGCAGGACTCTAACGTCCGTATGCTCTTTGTGGACTTCACATCTGAACGTCACACCATGATCCCCCAAACCCTGATGGACAAGCTACTCACACTAGGACTAAGCCCCTCCATTTACTACTGGGTCCTAGACTTCTTAACAAACAAACCACAGTCAGTGAGGATCCACAACTTCTACTCCTCCACCATAACCCTCAGCAATGGCTCTCCTCAGGGATGTGTGCTGAACCCTCTCCTATTCACTCTGCTCACATATGACTGTGCACCTACCCATCCAGGCTGTCACACTGTAAAGTTTGCAGATGATACAGTGTTGGTGGGATGTATCACAAACAATGATGAGTCCAGCTACAGGCAAGAGGTGGAACACCTGGAGAGCTGGTGCAAAGAGAATAACCTTCACATCAGTGTGAAGAAGATGAAGGAGATGGTCGTGGACTTCAGAAGGAACAAGCGCACCTACCCCCCCACCCCCCACCCCCCAACACAGGAGGATCTGCGGTGGAAGTGGTCTCCAGCTACAAGTACTTGGGTGTGCACCTGAATGACAACCTCAGCTGGAGCAACAACACCACCAGCCTGATCAAGAAAGCTCATCAGAGACTCTACTTCCTCAGACGGCTGAGACGAGCTGGTCTGGGAAGCTCAGTCCTCACCTCCTTCTATAGGTGTGCAGTGGAGAGCATCCTGTGCTCCAGCATCAACGTGTGGCATGGAGGCTGCACAGCTGCGAAAAGAAAAGCTTTGCAGAGAGTGGTGAAGGCTGCACAGAAGTCAGATGGAGTCAATCTCCCCACCATCTACACCTCCAGATGCAGGAAAAGGGTCACCTGCATCATGAAGGACCCCACTCACCCAGCACACACACTTTTTGCCCTGCTCCCCTCAGGAAGGAGGTTGAGGAGCATTAAGTGTAGAACCACTAGACTGAGGAACAGCTTCTACCCTGAGGCTGTTAGACTCATGAATCTCTAACCAGAATAATCACTGTGAAAAACCATATCATGTTGCTGCTGATCTGTTTCATGTTGATGTGTTCGTGCATGCTCATCTGCTCACACAAGACTCATGTCTGCTGCTGTTCGGCGTATTGTTTTTATTGTGCTTAGCGTATTTTTAGTTGATGTTTTTCTTAGTTCATATCTTAGATGTCATTACTGTTTTTCTTTTACATTTTAATATTGGATGTAACTGGGACCCTGAGTACACAATCTTGTTCCACCACATGTACCACATGTGATGCGAATGACAATAAAGAAACTCTGACTCTGATATGTAACTACTAATTTTACTCACCACCTCTGTAGAAGAGCAGCAGCTCGGTTCAGTTTCGGCAGACCTACCCTGCTGGTTCTGGTCGGCTCTCTGGCTCGGGGTAGTCCCGGTGGCCTCTGGAGAGAACGCCAGCCCTCTGGGCAGTGCCTTCCCACTCGGAAGGCCTCGTGGGCCAGCAGGCAGCACTCAGATTCACCGATGAGTCTGGAGGTCTGGTTCTGATCTGGTTCCCAGTCAGTTTCATGTGGCTCTCTGCATCCGCTGGGCGCCGAAGTCACTGAACGAATAAGGACCGAACTTTTCGGATTGGATCAAAACTTTCCCTCCATTTCAGCAGAATGCAACGGGTCTATTGAGTGGGGTACTCTTGGCTTCTGGGAAATGGAGTCATTTTGTGTGGCGATACAGTGTAGACTTATTGAAACTACAAAAAGATGGCGCCTGTCCAAAGTTTTTTTTTTCAGTAACTTTTTACTGTACAGTATCCCGTACTGTCCTAATCATGTGAGTAATATTAAAGTTGACAATTATGTGTTGTGTAGAATTTTATTTTCAAAAACCACAAAAGTCGAACCTCAACGTAGCGAAAGACTACTTACTGTATGTCAGTTGTATTGTGCATTGTAGTAAATATTTTGTGACGCATTGATTTGATAACATTAATAAATGAGAAGCAAACATTTTAACTGTGTAATATGATGAGAACTGATGTCATGCATTAAACTTGAGAACCATGCTGAAACGTTTGTAGTCCTACAGGAGAAGTGGACCTGGAGCTGGATGCATGCATCTGGTCTGGAAGCTTTAGTTTGTTAGCACAAGGAGCTCATAGAAAAAGCATGACTTTCTACAACTTCTAAACTTCTGGTTTGGAGTAAGTCACAGAAACAGACAAGATGGAAGTTTCCCCTTTTGCTATTCTTTATTTGTCCATGTTCCATTCCATCTTTTTCCTCTGCTCCATGTACGTAAAATTAATTAAACATTTTTTTTTATTATTATTTTTTAGAATTCCATTGGCAGCTGGTTCAGTTTCTTTAAATAAAACACTAAAAAATAAATAAATATATCCAAAGTACAGTAATGGCTGTTCTCAGAGCGCTGTGTGGTGTTTGGTCTTCAGTGGCGTGTGCAGCAGTGGGAGATGATGGCGTGGATGTGACTCAAATGAGGCAAAGCAACAGTGGTAGTTTAGTAGTAGAACGTTGATGTTGAGATGAAAGCAGATCTCATGGCCTTCAGTGTGACAGCACTGTGTCACGAATCATTTCACCAGCTGCACAGGAAGGAAGTGAAAGCACTCAGCTGTGTGTAACTCTTTTCATTTGGCTGCAGAAACATGAACGGCTGCGGTTCGGTAAACTCACCCTGACAGACAGTTATTGTCACATTAATGTCCTTCCAGAAGGGGAAATTATGTTTTGTTCCTTCCTTCAAATCTTACTGACAACTGGTTGATTTATTTAATTCATAAATAACTTTTACTCAGGCTATCCTGATGCATGCTCAATAATCCAGGTAGAAGAATCTAAAAAAGTTAAATCTGGTCCTCTGGACGTTCAAAAAACGAAACAAAGCAAAACAACAACAAAAAAAAATGTAGAAACGTTTCGTCTTTCATCTGAAAGACTTCCTCCAAATGTCCAGAGGACCAGATTTAACTTTTTTTAGATTTTACTCAGACTGTACTCATTTATGCCGAAGTCCATGCTCAATAATCCAGGTATAAAATCCAACAATGTTCAGTCAGGTCATCTGGACAGTTTAATAAAGAAACTGTCCAGACGACCTGACTGAACATTGTTGGATGTACGCATTGAGGCTCTCACCTACTGTACTTTTAGTTGTGGCTGTTCACCTCATAGTGTTCTGCATTGAAATTTAGCACAAATTTATCTGAAAGCTGTTTAACTGTTGAAGACAACAAGTCTAGTAATTTTTGATATGCTGGCAAGTTGACAAATAAATACAATATTCTGTTAAAAAGGTTTTAAAGGACGGTAAATTCTGTCATAACTACTTTCAGAACCCTTTTCAAGAACAATTTCTTTCAGCTGCTTCCTTCAGGGGGTTGCCACAGCGAGCACACTCGCACGAAGAACAAAAATATAGTTATCGTCTCAAATGTTACTTGGAACTTTAATGTGGAAAAGTGTTGACTTTGTCCAGAGTTGGCAATGAATCTGTGTTTCAAGGTTTTTGGGGAAGAAATGAGCACTATGTGTTGTGTACTAAAGACAAAAAGGACCATCTACAGTTGAAAACAACAAAGTCCATGCTCAATAATCCAGGTATACGATCCAACATTTTTCAGTCAGGTCATCTGGACAGTTTCTTTTTTTGTGCTGAAACGTTTCGCCTTCGATCCGGAAGGCTTCATCAGTCAAGGAAACGCACAACAAAACTTTCTTCCCCCAACAGCTGGAAGAATCAGATCAGATGATTTGAAAATGTTGGACCATCCACAGTGTTCTGAGCAACAGGTCCAGATGGAACACTGTTGAAGGTACAGACCTAAAGTACAGATCTACAGAGTTTACTCATTTCCATCAGTTTTAGAGAAGCTGTTCAGTAAATACAGAAGTAGTTGTTCAAAAAGAAACAGAAAATCAGAACATTCATTTTAATACAACAAAATTAAGTCAGATCCTCTCGACAGTTTCTTTTTTTGTTGAAACGTTTCG